AGTAACTATATTCAAAATATTCAATTTAAACTGAACACGATTTGCGCAAGGGGCGAAGAAATTGTCCATGTCACATAATGTTCTCATAAATATATTCCAGATTCAAATGACCGCCGAAATGTTTTTGAGAGTGGGAAAAGAACGAGACTTGTGTTGATCCTTGTGTTTCAATCGTCCGTTTATTAAGTATATTAGCTGTATAGTAGTCCCGTCGCTCTTCAATGACACACATTGAGTAATATGATATTTCAAAATGATATATGTATATTATACGATGATATGTATTTTTATTATAACAGATCCACAAGTAACAGGTGATCCACATTTGACAACATTTGACGGTCGTCCATTTAGTTTTCAAGGCATATGCTGGCATACTCTGTTTAAAGACTGCTCGACAAATCCTGCATTTGAAGTAACAGCTGAGTTTGAGCCTAGGGAGGACAGTACGTTGGAACATGTCAGAACGCGGACTGTTTCTGTTAATGTAACTGTTGGAGATGACTTTGCTATCATTAACGGACTGGATGTCGTTACTGTAAGTAATTCTAAATTGAATTTTAGAATTATTTTTCAGAAAGTTTTTATACGAAATATGTACAATTCACGTATGACCATCTAACACAAGCGGAGACGACTTTCAGCTTCAATATTTAAAATTATTCTTGAACACTTAAATTAATTAATAAAATATAATATATTCATAAATCTCAGGGTACAACTGATGGACATGTGACTGCCGCAAGACCAATACACGTTCAGGAAGACGATAAGACAGTCACACTGACCTTCATTTCTAAGGATACCACATTCACTTTGTCCTGGACCTTGAAGAAGCACAGCTTACGAGTATCTACCTCTGGATCTGACTACCGTGGTCATCTCTGTGGTCTTCTTGGTAATGATGATGGTGACACTCTTAATGACTTCACAAAACCTGATGGTGCAGTAGTCCATGATGCTGCTGAGTTTGGAGAAAGCTGGCGAGTTGAGTGGAAAAAGTAAGTTAATTAACCAAATATTGATCATGATCGTCTTTAGACGCCGAGCTAAGCTAACCCAGGTGGAGGCTAAGACGCGTACACTGAATTATCAGACTATGAGGATATTACGAGGATGCCCCAGACAGTCTGTCGATACCCCCTGTCTTCATGCATACTTTGAGGTATTCTCATAATAACCGTATCATTATACATCTTTTCCGCTCAAAAATACATACATCATGGGAATGCCGAAATCCGAAATGTTTAGAACAGAATCAGCGAACTTCTTTGTGTGGGGTCCGACCAAACCCTGGTGATAGCCAGCGTAATCATTTCATGTTTGGAATTTGCATTTCCTTATATGGTAGTATGAACATACCTCGTAAAATACCGCAAAATTACGGCACGTTTTAACTTATGGCGTTACGGTGACAGATATATAATAAAAGTCATTATTATTAAATATCATGATCACTAGAGTCTCGCGGGACTGATAAACTAAATATATTTAAACATTGTTACACATATATCAGTATAGTTTTAACGTTATTAACACTTTTTCAGTTCCATGACAAGATCTGATCTCAACTGGAATTCAAATATTCATTATCTTTTTTGTTTTGTTTTAGATGTGACTAACGCTTAAGTGGAAGCTGGCATGACGACAACTATACAACGTTTCGTGTCAATATGTTTATGGCTATACATTTCATCGCATTTAGTTTAATTCGGTTATGTTTTCTAAATGTTGCGCTTGCCACATTTACAGAAAATAAGAGTATTACAATGCTTAGTGGGCGTATTCAACATAAATTTGGAAATAAACGGTGATAATATGGGTACAACTTTGTTTGTATTTTATTGCATGCATATTACTAGTTCAGTTCTTCATTTTTCTATATAATCACAGTTAGTTATACTTAACTTGTAATAATTTCTCTAAATGATCTCTGTGTTAATTAATGTGTTCCTTTGGGCTTCTGCATACATAAACTTTCGATGCAAAATAGCCGGTGTGATCTTTCTTGAGTTCAGTGAGATTTGTGTTTCCCCCCTCCTCGATTAGTGTTTCATTATCAACCGTCGTTGCGCACACTGTACCCTGGCTAATGTTGCGATGGGCTTTGGAATGGTTGATAGGATGGCCATACAGAATGGGACACTATTTAAGGGGGTTGTATCGCACTCTCAGCGACGATGTAAAACTGCCTATTTGTCAGTGATACGCTATAGTCTCTGTTTTTGATTTGAATAATAATGTCAGTGAAATTTTAAACCCCGCCTAAAATCCACTCGAACGCGTCATTATTCGCACCACCATGCTTTGCCTCTGTGTCAAACATTTAAACACTGTCATGAAAGTTTAACTCTTCGTGAGTGATGTCAACATGAAAGTTGATTGAGAGTGCAAAGTAACGAAAAATGTTTAGGTAATTTAAGGAACAGAAATTATTTTGTCTCAGAGTACAATAATTTGTCATCGTTTTGGCAATTATTCGGCCCCATGGAGATGATGGAGATTACTAACACAATCCCTGATCACATTTGGAAAAATATATGGATTTCATATGCAGTTAAAATTTCCATAATTTTCTATATTCATAAATTCAAAAAAATATTTTAACTTACAACTGAGTATAGAATACAAATATATTTGACACCTAATTACGTCGTTAGAGGGCGCGATTTATAGGAAATATAAAACTTGCCATTCTAAGTAGTTTAGTCACACCACGTTGCTGCAATATGATTTATGACTTCCTATATTTACACTTTTTCTGCCCCACATTTCAACAATTTTCCAGGTGTCACAAAATACGTTTCTGAATTTCCGTTGTCTTAATGTACTTGAATGATTGTTTTAATTTTGTAATCGTCTTTATCATAAAATCATATTGCTTTAAACTGTTGTCGCAAACAACTTAATAAGACTAACTACACAATTTGTGAAAGTTGTATATGGTTCATAAATGTAGTATAGAATGCCGTGAAATGTGTATTGGAAGTCGTTCATATTGTATAATTTGCATTTGCAAGTTGGTATTGAAACGTGTTTAGAAAGTTTAGAAAGTCTGGAAAAGGTTGTATGATAAGCTGTAATTGTGTTGAATAGGCAGTTATAATGGTTGTATAATATGTTGTAATGATTGTTTAATAAGTTGTAATCGTTGTATAAGCAGTTGTAATGGTTGTATAATAAGTTGTAATGGTTGTAAAAATAAGTCGTAATTTTTGTATAATAAGTTGTAATTGTTGTATAATAAGTTGTAATGACTGTATAATAAATTGTAATGGTTGTATAATAAGTTGTTATGGTTGTAAAAATAAGTCGTAATTTTTGTATAATAAGTTGTAATTGTTGTATAATAAGTTGTAATGGTTGTATAATAAGTTGTAATGGTTGTATAATAAGTTATTATGGTTGTAAAACTAAGTCGTAATTTGTGTATAATAAGTTGTAATTGTTGTATAATAAGTTTTAATGGCTGTATAATAAGTTGTAATGGTTGTATAATAAGTG